TTTACGCTCCGCGTGGTCCAACCCGCTGTGGAGCGCATGACCGTGGTACCCTCTGCGACCACTGCTGCCAGCCACCACCTCCTCCCCTTGGCGACCCCCCGGGCGGGCCTGTCTGCCCGGAGTCTGGATGTCAGGAAGCGTGTAGACAGACGAGCCATGGAGAGGTGTCTACCCTTGTTGCCATGAGAAACGGCAGTGACTGGTTGCCATTTGTGCTCTTTTGCAGAACTCTGATCAGGAAAGTGTTCAGTTTGTATGTAAGCAAACCGTGAGCAGCAGTTGCAATCAGCTAACAAAAAAAATCCTCCTTTCGAATTAGGGCTGCAAATTACCATTCAGGAGACGGTGCCCCGGCCCCGGGCCCGGGCCCGTGTGCTCCCACGGAGGGTCCCGAGAGCTGAGGGCAGCCTGGTCTTGGAAAACCTCTATTCCTCTCCCGTGTTCATTTCCTCCCCGTGACTCTGTATTTCTTTCTGAGGAAAGCATTTGGTTCTTGAGTTTTTGGCTTTTTTTGTTGTTGTTTCTTTTGTAACATGAGAAAAACTGTATTTTTTTTATAGTATCGTCAGACTGAATTGTTTATGCACCAAAGTTCGTTTTGAAAAGAAAAAAATTTTTTAAGAATAATCACTTTCTTGCTGGTCGAGCAAGAAGCCATATTGAATTTTTTTTAACTTACAAGAAATGGAGCTATTGTGTAAACTTCCTGTCAGACAAATGTTGCATAGAGATACTAGAACGTTGCCTGTAAATAAACTGAGCAGATTTGTAATATATTTTTATATTATGAGATGTACTGTAGATGTTTTTCTAGAAGCATGGAAGTTAAATGTATATATGATGGTAGCAATGATATTGGAGGACACTGTCAGAGAAATAGCGCTGTCAGAGAAATTGTTATTAAGCACCTTTTTGAACAAATCGTGTCTTCTCCCAGACAGAGGGACTGTGTACTACTGTTAATACTACGAGAACATTCTTCCAGAAACCCCCTGAGGTAGGCCCCAGAGCCCTTCTAGAATGTTCTGGTGCTCTCTTCTCCCGGTGGCGGCCTGTCCGTTGGAAGGATGCGTTGTAAACCTGCGTGGTCTCGTGGTCAGGCCACGTGGGCTTTTTCCTTCACCACGGTGGCAGAAAAACCAGCTGTTTTTACACGCGAGTTTTTAAAGACTAGAGTAAACAAAAACAATAAGTCCAGGCGTGGGAAAAGCGTCCGCGATGCACCCGCCACGTCTCATTGCATTGGAGCCAACATCACAGGAGACGTGGGTTGAGAGGGTGGAGAGTTCTGTCCACGGAGTCAGTGGTGATCACGCGGGGGGGGGCCTGCACGCTGGTGTCAGCCCTCCGGCTGCGTGTTCCCGCGTGTTCCCTGCGTGTTCCCACGTGTTCCCGCGTGGCCTGTGCCCTGCGGCGTGCGGGCAGGACGCTGCATTTTCTTACATTTTTTTTTTCTAATTTCCCCTCCCCTCCCTGCTTAAGCACTTCTGCCCTCCCCCCCCCCCCCCCCCCCCCGCCACCCCCAGCCCGATCTGCAGGAATTCACAGTCTCCTCTGGTCTTCTCAGTTTGGGGTTTGTTATAAGATTGCCAAACGAAGTATCTCCCATAGATACGTAGTTTGTATTTTATTTTACTGTCCCCCCCCTACTTGTAAGTCCTGCTCCGTGGACCGACGATTGTAGACCTTGCTTGAGCGGGTGCTGGGTTTGGGTTTTGGTTTGCTCGCACATCCCTTCCCAGGTTAACAGTTGGATTTCCTTTTAGAAAGGCATCCGGAAATGAGCCTCTACTGCGTTCTTGAGGCATCGTCAATGATGAAAATGGTCTTATTTTTTCTTACTGTGTAGAAATCCTGCAGAATGCCGTGGTTAATGACGCGCCACTCGCCACCCTTGGCTGCGTGGCTTGTGTTCACTCTGGCCTCATGGGCACACCAAAAAAACCAATATGGAACTTTAAATGAGCTCATTTGATAGCTTGTGTGGATACACATGTACACACAGTCGAGTCGGACTGGAAACTTCCGTGACACGTGAGCCCGCCCCGCCCACTAAATATTAGCATTTACTCTCACTAAATATTAGCGTTTACTCTCTGCAATGTCTCCCCCTCCTCCCCACCAGACACCACACCTGCGTGCCCTTCCAGGCCTCCAGAGCTGCACTGTCCCACCTCTGTCCTAATCCGTTTGCCATCTGGCCTCTAGTCTAGTGGAGAAGGTTCTGGAAAGAAGAAGCTCGAAGCACAGCACTGCCCCTGTCAGCCGGTGGCGGCGGTGGCTTGGGGGGTGAGCCCGTGGGCAGCTGTCGGAGGGACCGGCCGCGCCTCTCGCCTGCCCCCAGCCCCCCCCCCTTGCCGCCGTTGGTCTTTCTGTATTTTGTTTTACAAAATAGGACTAACTTGAGATTTTTGTAAATCAGATTATGTTTAAACCCGAAGGCACATGGGCTTTATCTAAGAGTTCTTGAAGTAGAAAATATTGTAAAGTTTTAAAGTTGTTTATTTTTCTAATAAACTCTTTTTCCTATATAAAAATCGCCCTAAAGTGACCACAAATGACTTGTGAATTTCAGATGAAAGGAAAATAAAACAGACCGCAACTGACCATCGGTGCACAGCTCCCGTTTTGTTAAAACCTGGGGCTCTACGTGGTTTGGTGTTTTTTTTCTTCTTCTTTTCCCCTCCTACATGTTCATGAAATGTTTCAGATGTGAAAATCCACGGAAAACCATCGAACCTCTCACACTGGTTGAACACATTTCTATTGTTTGGGGGACTCTTAACACTTGGTTAGCAGAAGATGGGGGAGATGCGTTGAAGTCTTGGGAAATGTGCGCCTCAAGATAACACATTCACCTTTATAAATATTCCCCTCCAAGCCCTCTCACAGGCAGACAACGGTCTAATCTGTGTAGATTTTCATTTGTTTTGCTGTGTGGGTACTGGGGCTTGAACTCAGGGCCT